CATCTTCCTGTCTCCCTTGGTTATAGGTATATACCACGATTCCTTCGAGGTGATTTTCTGTATTTATATTCTGTTTTGCTGCTCCGTCCAGTGTGTTATTCACGGTCGCTCCTGGGCCCTCTAAAAAGTGATAAACAATTGGGAAGCATCCTCCTCCTCATTCTCATCCTCATTGCAGCAGCTGATGATGGATGAGAATGTCACGCTGGCGTTCCCACAGTGTTTCCTCATCAAACCAGACATGTCACGCTGGCGTTCCCACAGTGTTTCCTTGTCAAACCAGGCAGGGGAAGAAAAACAGCTTTTTGTACTTAAGTGTCAAAAAAAACAGGGTGGATTAAAGTCAACAACATCACTGTCCCAGATTCCTAACAGAGGACGGGCAAATTTGACAGGTTTGGGGTCCAGTTTTGTCCACCGACTAAAATTTGGCAGCAGCTTGAGAAAGACCGGCTTAAAGGAAGTGGTTTTTGGGGAGGAGACGTACATAGAGGTGGGAACCGCATGCCCTCCATGTCCTGTACCGATTTCCATCTGTGTTCTAGGCAGACTGTAACCACACACAAGCCTTCCGTTGGCGGGCTTTACCTAGGAGACCTCTCAACAAATACAGGCATGCAAATAGATTTTTTAGCCACATGGAGGTAAGCGTTGCAAGCCGTAAATCTTGCAAGCAGCTGCGTCACTCCCAGGAGAGGATGCAAAACACCAGGAAGCCGTTCCAGAGAAGTTGTTTTTTTTTCCCCAGGAGCCCAAGCAGCTGTTTGCTTGAACCCAAGGCCAGCGGGGAGGGTGCCTGTGAGGTGAATTTCTCCAGCCCCTGCACAGTTTTTGTCTAGGTTTGGTTTTAAGCCCACAGGAACCAACGTTTGCAAGCTTAGGAGCAGCTATTTTTATTTATTTATTTAACTTATATGCCGCCCACCCTACCCAAAGGTCTCTGGGCCGCTTACAACAATTTAAATACAATAAAAACATAAAAAGATAAAACAATTAGAATACAATAAAAAATACAATGCTCTAGAAAATGCCATCAAGGACCCACAGTTGATATTATTACAGTTGTCATCATGTGCGATCCGGCTGCTTTTGACTTCGGGCAGCAAAGTTCCCAACCTTGTGTTCTTCTTGGACTACAACTCCCAGAAGCCTTCGCCACTAGCTGTACTGGCCAGGGTTTCTGGGCGTTGTAGTCCAAGAACATCCAGGGACCCAACCTCCGAAAGACTGTGTCATTCACAGTCCTGCTCAGGTGTTACAGAGTGGATTCCTTTTCTGAGTCAGTCCATCAGGCGTTTGCTCGTCCTCATTTCCTACTGCTTCCCCCTTTTCCTAGCATTGATGCCTTTGAATTGTGGTGCTGGAGGAGGCTCTTGAGAGTCCCCTGGACTGCAAAGAGAACAAACCTATCCATTTTGAAAGAAATCAACCCGGAGTGCACACTGGAAGGACAGATCCTGAAGCTGAGGCTCCAGTACTTTGGCCATCTCATGAGAAGAGAAGAGTCCTTGGAAAAGACCCTGATGTTGGGAAAGTGTGAAGGCAAGAGGAGAAGGGGACGACGGAGGACGAGATGGTTGGACAGGGTCATTGAAGCGACCAACGTGAATTTGACCAAACTAGGGAGGCAGTGGAAGACAGGAGGGCATGCTCTGGTCCATGGGGTCGCAAAGAGTCGGACACGACTTAACGAATAAACAACAACAATTTAGCTTTCAACCTTTTCTGTTGTCTCTCCCTTGTTACGGGCACAGAGCCTCTAAATCCGCGCTTCTGTGGGGTGATTCAGAAAGATGCCTCCGAGGGGTCTCTCAAGAAGGGGAGCCACTGGGAAGCGGAACTTGTCACCTGCCAATTTGACCAAGTGGGCGATCTTACTTGATCCGTTTTGCAGGAGATGCCAGGCAAGGTCCGTTACAGCTGGCTGAGCGTTCTCCGCACTTGGAATGTGCATTCCTGCAAGGTTCAACGGTCAAGAATGGCCCGGACTTTACACGGTCTCAGATGCTGACTTGTAAAAACTGGAAGAAAGGATCAGGAAAAGCACAAAAAATAAAAGATCGTCTCCCAACCATTCGGTTGCCCATTATTGGGCTCGTAGCCTTGTGTTCTGAGATAAGGTGGCTTCCCCTCCGAGACAATTAAAATCCTAGCAAGAATGCTGGTAAAATCTCAAAAGAGTCCTGGATTTCTTCCCGTAAGCTGTTCTTCCCCTGCTATTTATTGAGACATAATTCCATCCTTGTTTGATCTCCTCTTCGTGTGTATGCTTGTTTTCTGCTTTTTTTCCCCGCCTGCTGTCTTGGTACATTTTTCACTGTAAGATAAAAGATGGGAATAAATCACTTTTTCAAAAAATCCTCCAGTAAGTCTTTACTGCTTCCCTTCCCATTAATTTATTCCTGAATGCATTTTGTACTCACCACATGCACAGAGAAGCAACTGTCCTATCCTTTTTATCGCCCTGCATTTATACTCTTCACCTCTAGGAAATGATGAATTAGCCTTCTGTATTTCTTAACCTGTTTTAAATCCTGATTAATTTCCGACTCTGCTTCTCTCATTATTAGTAAATAAGGATATACTAATTTTCCTCGTTGATTGGCTATCTGGGAGAGGCTCTTAAATGGAGTGGTTATTCTGCCTTATTGCCTCGAATCTGTTCTTCGCTGTTGGTTTTGTTTAATGTGGCTTCTGTCTGATTCGCTTTCATCTTCGCACACTTGCTGTTTTTCGCATTGAAAGATTGGCTTTTAACGAGGGAAAGCCACCTTGGGCCTTTTTGAAGGAGAAAAGCGGGGTGAAAATATTTTCGATCAATAAATAAATTCATCCGAGGCCTGGAAAGTACAGCTTCTTCTGAAATACCTGGTTGACAGCCGGGCAGGTAGACTTGATCAAAGGTCTCGCAAGCAGACTTCAAAGGCTTCGCTCAAAATTTACAACCCTAGTGAAAGTAAAGAAGACTTGGACTTCCTCTTCAGCTTTAAACATAGCATTTCAGGTCAATTTGTTTAGAGCTGGAAACTTCACCAAGGATTTGAATGAATGGAAGTACGAAACCTGGGGTTGCCATCCGAATCAAGAACGTCGAATAGCGTTGTATGAAATCGGTTGAGTTGATTGTAGGATCGATTAAATTTTGCCCTGAGGGAAGGAGAAATGCAAATCAAACGTCATGCTATAATTTTAGATGATGTTGGCCCTGGATGCAGAAAAGGCAGATCTGCATGCGGTTCGTAGTCTCCAAGGAAGTAGACAGGTTGAATCCTTGAGATTTACATGTATGTTGACGTACCGATTCGTACAATCTCTGGGCGATGCTGAGAAAGACGGATTTGCAAACCTGGAGTGACACTGCAAGTGAATGCCGGTGATAGTTAATTTGATCGTGCCGTGATCTGATGTTTTATAAAGCAGACTCTCATATTCACTGGAGGAAATGCTTTTTCTTCCTATGGCTGTTATAAGCCACAAGCTTAGAGTGAATTATGATTTGGGTTCTTATGGACCTTCAAGCTGTTTCAGACTTACAGGATCCCTGTGAATTAATACTCCCCAAAAAAATCATATCTAACTGCCCTGTTTGCATCTTTTGAACTCAGACCTCTGGCTTCTGAAATCAGTCCATCTCCTTTTTGGTCTTTCTCTCTTCCTACCGCCTCAAACTTTTCCTGCCATTATTGCCTTTTCTAGCAAGCCTTCTCTTTCCTGGTGGGTCCAACCTACGTTCAGTCATTTTAGCCTTTAGTGAGGATTCAGGCTGGATTCGATCCATGAGGAGCTCCGTGGTTCTTTTAAATATTTGCACAACTGATCAAAAAAAGATTTGTTTTAGTGGATTTATCTTTTCAACAATAAACCTTTCAGCCTTTGGGGGGAAAAATTCAGCCTAGAGGGTCGGCCCGTGGCGCGTATTTGACCGTTGCTTAACACAGGAAAGTTTGGTTCGTCTTGATGTTTCAGACGTCCGAGTGAAAGGGTGTTCCTCGTAGCCCACTGTGGTTAAATGTAGGAGATTAAAGGAGTGATCACCTCAAATATCCAACCTCTCCCCCAAGATCATCCTCCTTCGTTGGCAGATGGCCTCTCCCAATTTGAGGAGATCCTTGTCCAGCAGGCCGAGGCAAAGAGGCAGTCATGAAAGCAGCCAAGTCAGGGAGCTGGACGGGGGACAGATTGTGTTTGTCTTCAGTGTGGAAGGGATGGTCACTCTCGAATTGGCCTTCTCAGCCACACTAGATGCTGTTCCAAGACATCCATTTGGAGCACATTACCATAATCTCTTGAGACTGAAGGATGCCTAATCTAATAATATGGCTGGGAGTTGGACCTTAAATCTCTCCAGGAAGACGCGCTTGTTTTGTGAAGGTCTCCCTCTGACCTGATGTCTTGTTGGGTTTGCCTTCTTCTCCTTGATGCCGAAGTGGCCTACTTTGGTCCCTCCCAGGCTGACATTTACATCTCTCTCTCTGAAGAGCCTGCCGTTCATGGAGGTTGACAGCTACGCAACCGGGCCATCTCGCTTTCCTTGCGCATCGATTTCCGGAGAGCTCAGTGGTTTCGGTCTCTGGTTGCGGAGCCGGAGGTTGGGGGGTTCGATTCCCCACCGAGGCTCCCGGCAAAAGAGCCCGCCTGGGTGGCCTTGGGCCATCCGTACGCAGTCCTAGGGGAAGCCCCCCAGAAGAAGGGAACCATAACCACCTCTGTGTGTATTCTCTGTACCTGGGAAACCCCGAAATTTGTCAGAATTGATTATGATGTACACGATGATGATGATTAAGGGTCGGAAATCTCCCGTTCCCCTCTTTTGTGGGGAAAATTAAAAATGGAGCCGACGACGGTTCTGATTTCTGCAGCCAAAACCGATGGTTGCCCTCGCTGAGCTAATCCGTCGTCTGGCATCGTCCTACATTTTTTTGTGCGGGTTCCCTACCTCACCCCCCTTGGTTGCCACAGCAACCCTGCAGTAGATCAGCGGCCGGATGATGTGCTGCGCAGCCCTTTGCCTTTCCCCCACACACACCACCACCTCATCCCCTTCCCTCCGTTGGTCCCCGGTCCTTGTACTCCGGGCCCATCCTGGATGCCATGGCAACCGTCTCTCAAGAGGGCACCTGAGGTTGTCGCGTTGGGTAAGTACGGGGGGGGGGAGAGTTTCCACGTCTCAGATCTGGCTGTCGCCTCGTTTGGCGCACCCGGCCCCTCCGCGTGGATCCGGACGCCTGCACGTGTGCAGGCCTCTTTTCAAAGAGCAGGGTTTCAATTAAAGTCTCGTTGGGGGGCAATGCGCTTTCGTAGCAAGGAAGGCGGCTGGATCACCGGGAAAAGGTTTCCGAGCAAGGAAAAGCAAAAGGGTTATTTTCCACGAAGCTTCCTGGTTGGAAGGGAAACCGTACCGAGAGCATCCGTTTCTGGGGGTTGCCTGAGTCTCAGATTTTTGATCCCTTTTCTTGCTCTTGGGCCCCAAATATTTGGGGTTTATTCTCAGGGCATCTGGCATCAGATGCACCCTTGTCTCTTCCATCATCTGGGGGAGGGATTCACACGTTGGCTTTCAAATTCAGAGTCTCTGCTCGCTGGCTCGCTCTCGCTCTCTTTAGATAACACAAGGCAGCAGCCAGAGATGACCTCTCTTGACCCCTGACGGTCACCCGGCTGCCCTCCGGTTTGGTTCGATAGAAATCATGGCCCTGTCCAGGAAACTTCATCTGCCTGCCTGGGTCATCTGTTGAACAGAAGGCAACAGGCTCGCATTTAGAAGATGTGCTCCTTTTACGTGATCTGAGATGCCCGTTCGTCTTATCACACCTTTTTTTCCCTCCGTCTCTTGCCTTGCTTTGTGATTGGTCGGCAGGAGGTAAACAGGGGCGTTCCTTGCAAGCCTGATTGCTCAGACCCCCCACACAACGCTAGAGAAATCTCTCGCTTTTGCTGGATTTCAGACCTGCCGATAGCAGAAAACAGGGAAACTTTATAATTTTTTTTTTGTTTGAGTTGATCTGGACTGGGAGGAAAGAGGTCTCCAGCTCTGCCGTTGGACAAGGTGTCAGGATTAGCCCTGGAGAACCCACACACACACACACACACACTTCTTCCCACCAATACATCCCAAAACAAGGTCCATCTCTGAAGCTTCTTCGGTTGCCAGATGGCCGTTTTTTTGCCCGGCTGCGGGCTCGCATTTAGAAGATGTGCTCCTTTTACGTGATCCGAGCTGCCCGTTCGTCCTAGCACACCTTTTTTTCCCTCCGTCTCTTGCCTTGCTTTCTGATTGGTCGGCAGGAGGTAAACAGGGGCGTTCCTTGCAAGCCTGATTGCTCAGACCCCCCACACAACGCTAGAGAAATCTCTCGCTTTTGCTGGATTTCAGACCTGCCGATAGCAGAAAACAGGGAAACTTTATAATTTTTTTTTTTTTGTTTGAGTTGATCTGGACTGAGAGGAAAGAGGTCTCCAACTCTGTCATTGGACAAGGTGCCAGAATTAGCCCCGGAGAACACACACACACACTATACATCCCAAAACAAGGTCCATCTCTGAAGCTTCTTCGGTTGCCAGATGGTCATTTTTTGCCCAGCTGGAATATTCCTACGACTGGCTCCCAACGTTTTCCTGATTAAACTTGTGGAGCTTCAAGGAATTGGCTTCAAAACCTGGAATAGTGTTAAGTGAGACGGTGGCCCATGAGTCAGTGTTGTGTATTATTTCTGGTGCTGAACTGGATTTGACCCGCTTTTCCAGCTGGGATGCATACCACAGTTCAAGGCGGAGGGAGAGATTTATTACTGGAAAGAATCCAACCTCCCCAGTAAAAGTACTGATTCTCCTTCCGAAGACTTTTCTTGCCTATGGGCCAGATTGCGAATTCTCGTCCCTGTTTTTTAACAGCGAAATGCTTTACAAAGCTTTTCCCCTCTTGCGTTGCTGTGGCAACTTTGGGGATAATTTGGAGCCTTTGTAATCGTGCAGAATCTTGCCAGGCTATTACAAGAAGTAATAATTACCAAGTAAACATTAACCTTGTGCAATCTGGATTCGAAATATTATATCCCCTGGGATTCGGAGGCCAAGTTTTGCAACAGGTTTTTCTGCAACGCTCAAAGAAAAAAGTCCAGGAATAGATGAGAAAGCAACTGGAGTGGACAGAACCAGCATATTAATTAGACTTCTTGCATTCTTTCCCTGGTATTGAGGTTAATCCAGAGAGGGAGAGAGAGAAAAAACAGCAGCCCATACTTACAAACTAAGAAAAATATCTGGTGTCTCGGAGAATTATGTTCAGGTCTTATTCTAATCCGGTCTATGACCACATAATAAAACTTTACGGACTTTTTACTATTATTATTTAATAGCATGGCACGGATGCAAAGGTTGTATACGTTTTGATTGGGCAGCTGTGTTTTGACTGTTACAGCAAAATGGAGAAAGAAAATTAGTCCTGGAGCACTTTAAAAAAAAGAGCACTTTTTCAAAAGCTCTGTTTCACAACTTGGAAACTAAGTTTTAAAAGTACCTACACGAAGCACGTGGAAACATGGATATATATATATATTGCCTGGGAAGCTTGTGTGTTGTTGATGTTGTTGAAAAGGGAGATACATTACTCGGCTGCAAAGAGTGTTGTTTATTTTAAATTTACCGTATTTTTCGCTCCATAAGACGCACCTTTCCATAAGACGCACCAATTTTTTAGGAGAAGAAAACAAGAAAATATAATCTGTTTTCTTCGCTCCATAAGACGCAGACTTTCCACACACACCCCTGTTTTGTGGGGGGAAAAGTGCGTCTTATGGTGCAAAAAATACGGTATTTATTTGTTTATTGTATTTATACCCCACCTATCTAGTCATTTCGACCACTCTAGACAAAATCACTCAGGAAATCCGTTTCTTTTCGATCCTTTTGCCATATGTAAACACCTCTGTAATGAAGAAATATGGGGTTTTTCCTCCTATAAATAGATGGGCTGGTATCCTATTGAGAGAGTACAGTATTAAACAATAAAGTTACCAGAACTGGACACGAGGGGGAACCAGAGATCTTGCTATGTGTATATTTCCATGATGTCATTGCCAGAACTGGCCGTAAGAGGGAGCCAGAGACCATGCTGTGTATAACATTTGCTATTAAAATATGTTGAGTTTGCTATAATCCACATTTTTAGGTATCCATGTGCTTGGTGTCAAGGAACCGACACCCCACAAAGACAGGCATCCTACTGTATTTTCATTTGAGCCTGGATTAATCTGTTTCATACCTTTGTCTTTACAAACCAAATCATGAGATCTAGAAACCTGTCTTGAAAGTTAAAACGTGAAGGGACCCAGATTCTGTGTTGGAGATTCCTTTGTGGCCACAGAAGAATGACTTTATTGTGGGTTTTTCCTCCTTCCCTCCCTCTCTCTCTCTCTCTCTTTCAGGTCATCAGCTGGAAAGGCAGAGGAAAGGGAACTTCCGATTAGCTTTTCTTTGCTAGAAGACACAGCAAAATGGCGTCCATGCTGCTTAGCCGAAGTTTCCCGGGTTCGCTGCAACAGAACTGCAAGGTATTTGTAGCAGGTAGGTGAAAAGCACCTTCGGTGGGAATCGAAAGATGGTGCTCAAGGCATCAGAATAGAGTTCTTCCATAGCTTATTAGGATTTTTCGATGAAATGTTTATTGGAGAGGAAGCAATCGAAAGATGGTGCTCAAGGCATCAGAATCGAGTTCTTCCACAGCTTATTAGGGTTTTTCGATGAAATGTTTATTGGAGGAAGCACATTATGTGATGTCAAGTTGGAACCAACTTCTGGCAAACCCTAAGAGAGCTCTCAAGGTAAGTTGACATTATGTGCTGTCAAGTTGGAACCAACTCCTGGCAAACCCTAAGAGAGGTAAGTGAGACATTCAAGGAAGACGTTTTATCCGTCCCAAACTTGCCCTGGGAGTTTGCCTGGCCGAGCAGAGATTCGAATCCAGATCTCCGGCCGCTTCGTTCTGTTGCAACTATTTGGAACATGGCGGGTCGATAGTATTGTACGGGTAGGAAACAAGTTAGTTCTGCAATGATCCACAAACCTACTACGGGTGTTGCATACAGTGGTGCCTCGCTTAACGAGCGCACCGTACAACGACGAAATCGCATAGCAAGCCTTTTTGGGGATTGCTAATGCGATCGCTCAACGACTTTTAGATAGGGCGAAACTCGCTTTATATCGTTTGAGATGTGGTGCTGGAGGACAGCTTGGCTCATACCCCGGACTGCAAGAAAGATGAACAAGTGAGTCCTTAGAAGCCTGAACACGTCAGGCACGTCCTGAGAAAACAAGACTCTCTGGAAAAGACAGTAATGGTTGGAAAAGTTGAAGGCAGCAGGAAAAGAGAGAGAGAAAAAATGAGATGAATTAACTCCCTAAATGAAGCCACAGGCTTGAGTTTGCAGGGCTATTAAGGACAGAATCGTTCATTTTGGGGATCGTTCATTCATAGGATCGCCGTGAGGTGCAGGTGACTTGACAACAGAAATAGAGGGGGAGGGCAGCCCATGTAGAAAATGCGGTGTGTTTTACAGTTGTTCCGGTCAACAAGAAATACAAAGCAAAGCAAAACGTTAGATATTGTGGTACATAAATACTGCTGTATTTTAATTTGAGCTTTTGTGGAATATGCCCACTTCGTCAATGTAAAAGTTAGAATATGGAGACTACATGGTAAAACATTCATGCAAGGCTATAGATAAGGGGAAAGGGGTGTTTGGCTGCATTTCACACCTAGTCATGATTTAAGACCCCTGTTTGTGTTCAGTTCTTTTGAAGTTTGCTTCTGTAAACAGCAACAAGGATTAAAGGAAAGGATAGTGAAAACAACAGGTACGAGTAATGTACACAATGCCAGGCTTGGCCCATAAGCCTTGTTCTGAAAGGGTGGGCCTGGTTAGTTGGAAAGGAAAATAACGCTACAGAACTACATACTATTACATTTGGGAGTGGCTTAAGAAACCTTGGCTCATACTTAATCCATTGAGATGGATGTGTAGCACGTGCGTATGTTTTATCGTAGCTGGTTGGTTTTGTTTTGTGTTTCTTGTTGATATGCTCACACAGACTAACATGGCTACAACTTCAAAAACTGTAATTATTCCTGTTTGCCAACATGTCAAATGAGTTCAATCCTCCCTTCTTTCAGTCATTTCCTCTCCCCCACCCATTGCTGGACTATTCCATCATTCTCGTACTGTAGATTTTCAAGCCTGGGAAACAGCAAAAGCTGGTTAGAGCCTGTGTCAGGAAAATACATAGCGACAGACATCAGCTCAAAGGAGAAATCCATCCATTCTCTCTTGATCCAAGTGTAATGGGCTTCTTCACATGTCTGTACATCACTCAAGAAATGTCAATAACTTTAGATGTATGAAGGGCTATATTTTCAGAAAACCCGATCCTTGAGCAAGGAGAAAGAAGCCTTCTCTCTCTCCTTTCCTCGTGGCCTTTAAAGAGACATTTTGAATTTCTTGGAGACGAGGAAAGGGGGTCACGGAGTGCGAACTCTCTCCTCCCGCTTCTTGTTGAAGCTGCTTGGCTTCGGTGACCCTTTACGCCTCTGAAAAATCAGCTCTCTTCTTCCAAAACAGTTGCGTAAGAGCTGTTTATTTACCAAGCGGATCGTCTTGGCTTGGTCTCTCTCTCTCTGGCGGCTGAGAACATCTGAGTAATCCAACTTTTGGAAAATGATCCCTCTTTTTTTGCTGCCACCGACTGAACATTTAGAGCGGCCCCCATTCTCTTACGCTCTGTAGCCATAAAATCTACCAATATTGCAATTGATTATGAATGTTTATGTTCACGATTTCCACCTTTACGTACAGTTAATACGTTCCCCCAAAATAAGACAGGGTTTTATATTAATTTTTGCTCCAAAAATGCATTAGGGCTTATTTTCAGGGGATGTTTTATTATTTTTCCCATGGGACAACCCTCTACATTTATTCAAAGACAGTCCTGTCCTCTTCTTCTGGCTGCTGCACAAGGGTGGAGGGCGGGATTTCACTTAACTGGGGCTTATTTTGGGGTAGGGCTTATATCGAGAGCATCCTGAAAAATCATACTAAGGCTTATTTTCAGGTTAGGTCTTATTTTGGGGGAAACGGGGTATCTCTCTGCAATACAGTAAAATTTTAAATCTGCACATACATCTTTTCGCATAGTTAATGTTTGTGGGGTAACTCAGCGGTGGGCAAAGAACAGATGTGGTTGGAATACAGATCCCAGCGTTCTCTCCATTCGGTTGGGTACAGTTAATGGGAGTTGATGTCTAGAAGGCTGCACTGTTGTCCATTTGAAACACAAGAGTGTTGATGACCTTGATCCTGGAATCCATTAACACCTCCTTACACTTGGTGATCTTTTCTGGGGGAAACCAGCAAAGCAAAGAAACTAGAAGATACGTTGCATGCATATCACTTTCTGATGATCACAATGAAATGATGGGGGGGTAATATTTTGTTTCAGCACTCGGTCAAGAGCAAATCCTATTGAAAAAGTGTCTGGTCTTTGCTAGAAGAATGAATTTATTTATTATTTACGGTGACCTACATCATTAAAAAGGCAATATTTAAAACCCATAAACAGTATGTACAGCAGGGACCCCCTTATCTGCAGGATCAGTATTCCTTGATTCATTTCCAGGAAATATATACCGTATTTTTACATGTACAGTATAAGACACCCCCCACTTTTCTAATCCAAAATTAAGAAATCTAAGTGGGGCTTAGCAAGTGCAGGGAGAAAGGGATCAAAGCGCTGCAGGATTGCTTTGATCCCTGCTTTCCCCTCCGTTTGTTTTTGTTCTCTCAGCTTACTTCCGTGTATAAGACAATCTTCAATTTTTAGTCTAATGATTTTAGACAAAAGTATAGTCTTATACGCGGGGAAAAATATGGTAAATTTCTAACCATGAAGTTACCAGAACCGGCCACTAGAGGGAGACAAAGGCCCTGCTAGCTAGAGCTGTAATCTGCATTTTTCAGCGTCCGTGGAACCGATCCCCCGCGGATGCAGAGATACAAATATTTAAGAAGAATTAAACAATATTCTCCTGGGTTATAATCTCCAATGGCTGAAGCTGAAATACAGACCAATCCAATCTCAAGGAGTCCTTGTCTTCTTCGGGAAAGCCCTGTTAACAGCAGATGGGACTGTCAGCAAATTATAAATAATTTTAATGCACCGAAATAAACGATTCCTGGTATTCAGTTTTGTCCTCTAATTATAAACACAGATGGTGTTTCAGGGCACCCAGCCACATTTCGCCATTTAATCAGCAGAAGCGATCTCAGCCCACCGCCGTCGTTTCAGAGAAGCCACAAATGTGGGAGGTTTTGCTAATCTGCCAATTTTATTTCCTTTTAATGGGCCCTTTCTAGCACTTGTTAGGGTGTCGTCTTGTGGCCGTCGATTCACAAGGAAACTCTTCTGCCCCATGGGACTGAGTTCTGAATCTATACAGAGAAAATCGCAGCCCTAATCAACTGGCATTCCTTTAATTGCTTAATTTTGTATCCCTTGCAGGCCATCGAGGCATCAGCCAAGCCGCAGCTAAAATCGACGTGGACTTTGACTACGATGGGCCACTTATGAAGACGGAAGTGCCTGGTCCAAAATCTAGGGTAAACGGATAAATCAAGGGCGCCACCTCCCACTCCCATATTTTTGTTGTTGTTTAGTTGCATAGTCGTGTCTAACTCTTCGTGACCCCATGGACCGGAGCATGCCAGGCCCTCCTGTCTTCCACTGCCTCCCAGAGTTGGGTCTAATATTTATATATTTTTACAGTCATAAAAATCCTCAGGACAGATAATACACCGTGACAATTTGCTTTAAATTCTTGCGGCCCAGAAATCTAGAAAGAATAGATTTCAGGAAATCAGGATCCGATCAGACAGGAAGGAGGCTCTTGTTTTTTGGGGTCCCTTGGGACACCGTCTGGTACAAGGTGTCTTCTGGGGGGGGGTGTCGCACAGCGTACGAGCAAGAGCAACTCGACCCATCCCAGAGATGAACTATTTACCGTCCTAATCATCTTTCTCTTTCCTGCCATTTCAGGAACTAATGAAGCAGCTGAATAGCATTCAGGTAATTCCCATTTCAACTTTAGAAATTAGAAATAAATGCCTTCTGCCGTCTTTGATCTCCCAGCTTGTCCCCACTGGATCTGATGAGAAGGAAGAACCATCGGCAACAAATCAGTGTGTTGGGGGGCGGGGGAGTGGGTAGAAGATAGACAGCAGATATGCTGGTAAATCTCTGGGTAATTAACAGTAGATCCACTAAAGAATGTGGCCACCAGTAATTTTTTTAAAAGGAGGTGGATTCTATCTAATTACTTCTCTCTCAGCCTCAATTTTCCATACCTGTAAAATGGGAATACAGTAAGACACCTGTATCCACAGGGGATTAGTTCCAACGCACCCCCACCGCGGATGCTGAACTACGTGGATTACAGCAAACACTATTTCAATAGTTAATGCCAGACATTGTATGGTCTCTCTGGCTCCCTCTGGTGGCCACCTCCTTCTGGAGGCTCTCAGGAGCCCAAGCGGGCTTTTTAAAATGGGAAAATGCAAAAATATTTGTCATTGCCTTATTAAAATGGGGGGGGGGGGTTTCAAGATGCATCAGAAGGGGCAAAAAAAAAAAAACCTGGAGGACTGCGTGCGGGTGGATCATATGGTCCCCCACCCCAGATCGAAAGGTAGGGCTGGTTCTGTCCAGGTTTGCGGGCGAAACAACCTGTCTCCTCTGTTTCACCAAGAATGCAGAAGCGGTCCACTTTTTCTGCAACTACGAGGAAAGCCGAGGGAACTACCTCGTGGACGCCGATGGGAACCGCATGTTGGATCTCTACTCGCAGATTTCTTCCATCCCAATAGGTGAGACTCGCTTCGGTCCGGCGTGAATTGGCCGCTCACCTGTCTTCGCAGCCACCCATGCATTGTCGGCTGCCTGAAGCGGAACGCTCACAAATATCCCAACTGCTCAGAGCCTGGGTTGATAGCCAAATGTGACAGCGTTTCAACGGAGGGCTACAGAACGATCACATAACTGGGAGGCAGGCAGATCTTTATCCTGTCTTCAGGATAAATGCCTCGAGTACTACTCATAGAGGAAACGGGGGCGTATACAAGAAGAGGGTGGGCCCAGTTAGCTCCAGTCAAGGGATCAGAAATCTGAGGGCCAAACACTTTGTTAGAGAGAACATATAATTGCAAGCAGAACTCATGCTAATGTTCCAGAGACGTTATTCCGGCAGAATGTCATGTCCGAGAAATCAGCCTTCCAAATAAAGGCTGATTTTGCAGTCTTGGAGACCAATCCCGAAATGAAGCAAGCTAATCTTGCAGACTCTGAAATGCGCAAGCACCCAGCTATGGCAATCAGATGTGCTCAGAATTTAAGGAATTCCCTTTTCAAATGAGGAGCAGTCTGTAATGTGTAGTTTGGCTTTAAGATTACAATATCAGACCTGCCAGAGATTATTTTTAAAAATTCCAGATGAGACAGCTGTGTGTCTTGTCCAAGATAGTTCCGACAGGGAAATACATTTACATCAAAATCATATTTCTGTTGATTTTTTAATTTATTTCTGGGCTTCTTATGGTTTCTGCCTGACCTTACAGAGTAAATGGAGAGGAAAGCTGGAAAGCAGCTGATCCATTACCTTTTTAGCTGGTGCAAATTGGTCTTATTTTTTCTCTCCAGAAAAATGTTTTTAAAACGTGCGCTCTTGATCCATCTGCCTTGTTTCCCCCTAAATACATGTGCTTGTTTTAGAAGCCAGCGGCTCAATCATCTTCCTCAGATCGAGTTTTTGGAAACCGTCTCTCTGTTTTTCTTCTAGGTTACAGCCATCCGTCTCTGATCAAACTCCTGCAGCAGCCTCAGAATCTGGTATGGGTCTTCTTTCAGAAAGCCTTGAATCACTCAAAAAAGTTCCAGCCGGGTTCAGAATGATTTACTCAAGGTTTACTTCAAGGAACGTGGCCTGATTGTAAATCCCTTAGTCCACAAAGACATACCACTCCCCTTCTTTGGGCATCACTTTAGAAAATGTAAAAAATAAAATAAAATTGTGTCTGTGTTTTGGGAGACCCAAAGAGTGCTTCTCTCTCTAGCTCCTAGAGAAAATTAGGAGCATTCAGATCCATCACCATTTTGCCCTTGCTCGGGATGCACACGAATTGGGATTCACACGAATATTTGTCCTTAGCTTCACAAGAGAAGGGGGGGGACTGATTTTGTGCTGTCACCTCAACAAATCCTGCCCTCATCTCCACACTATGCAAAAGAATCCATCTTATCAGGATCTGCAATTTCTTCTTCCGCTATCTTGACTTATTGAAACACGGCCAACTTATTGATCTCTAATCTTTTCATGAGACTACGGCCAAAATCATGTTGCTTAGCCTAGTTCAATTGCACGAGAGTAGGCCTGTTGAATCCCTGGGGCTTTGGGGTGTCGTTGATCCCCCTGGGTTTGTCCTAGTTACTTTCTAAGGAACTTGCTTTCTAAGCTAAAGTAGGCTGCAACTCAAGTAGGCCCATTGACTGGATGGAACTTACGGAGGAGTTGATTCCCCCAAATTCTCAGGGATTCAGTGGGCCTGCTCGTGGCTGACTTACGGCGCAAAACCACTGGGTTTCGGTCTATGTTGCATCTCTAGTTTGGCTTCCGGACCACAAGACGATGCTAAGCTGCCTTTTGCCAAATATCTCCGATGCTTGTTCAGCGCATTCCCGTTTCTTTTCCAGAGCACCTTCGTCAACAGGCCCGCCTTGGGGATCTTACCTCCGGAAAACTTTGCTGAAAAGCTAAAGGAATCGCTGCTTTCAGTAAGTCTTGAATCGGTGGTGCCGGGGAACGAGGAAGGGTTAGAGGGGGGGTCGGAGAATTCACTCCACACCGCATGATCTGGAAATGACTTTGCTCCGTTCCTGCGCTGCAAGCCATTTGGCATGATTTTCACCTTTATTCATAGAATCGTAGAACCATGGAGTGAGAAGGGGCCTCTAAGGCCATCCAGTCCAACCCTCTCTACTTGAGGCAGGAATCCAAATCAAAAGATATCTGACAGAGGGTGGCCCAATTTCCTCTTGAAGGCCTCTAGCGTTGGACCATTCCCCACCTCCTGAAGTCACTGGTTCCCTTGTCGTACTGCTCTAACAGTTAGAAAGTTTTTCCTGATATTCAGCCTAAGTCAGGCTTTCTGCCGCTTGAGCCCATTGATGCGTGTCCTGCACCCTGGGACGGTCGAGAACAGATCCCGCTCCTCTGGAGGGGACTACCTTTCGAATATTTGAAAAGTGCCCTCCTATCTCCCCTAAGAGATGCTTCTGTCATTCTGTGTGAGAGAGGGTGGCCAGTCTCGGTCTCCCATCAATCTGCCGCCATGCGGCACAAGCTGTGTTATGAAATCGAACAAATATAAGTTAACTGTATTCGGTTTTTTATTTTAAAGCTTGGCGCCGCAGCTGGAAAACCACCACCACCCCAAAAAAAGTTGCAAACGTGCAAAGCCAAGGATTGAAATTTGTGTGTTTCTCCCCCTCGGAGGGGCGTTTGCCTGGACACGTTCTTTGACCATCTTTTTTCCTTTGAGCTGACCTTCCTCTGTTGCTTCTCTTTCCCCCCCGGACAGGTGGCTCCTAAGGGCCTTTCTCAGGTGGTGACGATGTCTTGTGGTTCCTGTTCGAACGAGAATGCCTTTAAATCCATATTCATGTGGTACAGGGTGAGTAAAAAGCTTTCAAGTGCTTCTCTTGGAAACGTCGCTTTGCGCTTCCGACATGCGCAGCATCGGGAGAGACCAAGAGCAGAAGCCTTAGAGGCATGCTTTTCAGATGGAGTCCAATGCTTGGTTCCCAGCTTTGCCCTGGAACGCCAAACCACAGAGAGTTCGTAAGAAAAATGGCAAATATTTGTTGGCCCGATTCGTTTTTCTTTTTCTTTTTGGGAAGCATAAACTTTTTTCTTTTTGAGGTGGTGGGGGAAGACACCATATTCCCTTCCTCCTCCTCCTTTAGGTTTATGCCCCGAGGCAAAGTGGGTGGGGGGTGATGCTGGTCCCCCCCCCCCCGCTGCCAAAATGCCTAGCTATGCCTCTGGTTGGTCAGCCTGACGCAGTATCGTCAAGGATGGCTGGCATTCGTCACTCTCCTACTGTTTTCTTCCTTCATTCTGCCTAGAGAGGGCCGTGGTACACCCTGGCGGTCTCCCCTCCGGTCATTCACCCAAGCCAACCCTATTTAGCTTCCTTAGCTTCTGACTTTGTCCTCTTTTCTTCCCTTACTCTCTCTCTCTCTCTGTGCCAAACTTACTGTAAATTTGCTGAAAAACACAGGAAACACTACACTATTTTAAATTATATTATTATGCAACAGAAAAAGCAATATAGTTATTTTGCCAGATCTTTCTTTATGCCTTCCACTTCTCTTTGCTGATTGCCTTTAAGGCAAGTATTCCTGACCTGATGCCCAGCGGCCAGAGTCCAGTTCACATCACTCGTGTTGCAGAAACCAAATGAAATCATCATCCGGGAAGCAGGAGATTTCATTGAAATTAATTTAAATCTCCCTTCGGCTTCTGCGGTTCCCCAGGGCTCCTGTTTTGTGTTGGAGAACGCTCAGGGAGCCTCGGACAGGGGAGCCTTCCAAAACCGCCTTTGGTGGTTCTGATCCTGGCGACAGCAACCCAGGAGCTATTTTTGGCAATTAAAAGGCTCCCGAAATCTATCCGAAGGCTACCAAACGTCAATTAAATCTTCTGCTTCCCAGATGATGACATCATCCTATTTGCGCAGCATGAGATCGCACGAAAGAATTTCGGCCTTTGTGTTTTTGTTCCGGGAAGCTAACGGGGAAACCCGCCCTTTGTCTTCCAGAACAAAGAAAGAGGACAGAAAAGTGTTACTAAAGAAGAACTGGAAACGTGCATGATCAACCAGGTAATACAATCATCATCATCTTGGAAGTGCAGAACTGGAAGGGACCCCGTGGGATCACCGCGTCCAGCCCCTGTCCAAGGAGACACCGTGGGGGGAATCGAACCCACAGCCTCTGGCTCGGCAGCTGGAGACCTCGACCAATCAGCATTCCCTAAGACGTTGACCACAATCGAACCCACAGCCTCTGGCTCGGCAGCCAGAGACCTCAACCAATCAGCTATCTCGCATTCCCTAAGACGTTGACCATGCAATGGGACTTCAGGATGCTCCAGTTACGAATCTACATCCCATTGCTAGTTCTCCCAACCAGAGTGGAGCCCTTATTTTTTATTTGGGTGGTTTGGCTTCTGTCCCGAATGCTAGAGGGATGGTGTATAAATGCTGAAAATCGAACCGTAAACCCCAAACCACCGGGTTCTTCTGGATGGGTTTCGTCTTCAGAAAGCGGTGTTGTCCCCCCCCCCCCTCGGCTGATGGATCGGATCACCTTGTCACATTAATCCCCCGTTTTTGTTCCAGCCACCCGGTTGCCCGGAATACACCATGCTCTCCTTTATGGGAGGATTCCACGGCAGAACCATGGGTAAGGAAACCTGGACAACGTCGAGGTGTGAGGGGATGCGGAAAGGGGGAATAAATCTGACCCTTGGGCTGTAGCTATTCCTCCCTAATCGAAATTCTAGGCAGGGGGTTTTTGTATTTTGTGAACTACAGCCTTCAAGAAGCTGATAGGAATTCCCCAGCCGGACCTCGGTTGGGGTGGGGTGTCAGCAAACATCAGCAGCAGCAACAAACCCAGTCCTTTCGGGTGTCTGTAATGACTTTCAGCTGAGAAAGAATGGCTTCTCTCACGATGAAGACTGAGAAAGTGGCTGTGCAGAGCTAACCTTGGATTCACTGGGAGATCCAAGGCATTATGAGCCTGGTGGTCTCTTGAGATGCACTCTACATGAAGCCTAATAGGCAGCTAGACTACCAGACCTGTAATACCTTGCATTTCTTATAGAACATAACCCCAATCAGACATTTCTTCCTTCTTCCTCATGTAGATTCTTTTTCGGCTGAAAGTGGTAGCAGACACCTGAAAAAACAGGAGGGTTTTTGGGGGGTGGGTTGATGGTTTCTACTAAAGCTCCCCAAAGTCTAGCTGTCGAAATGCCTGCAGACCTCTGATCACCCATGAATTCTGAAAATTCCATGCCCACTAAATTTCCATGTGCCGTGGCTAGGGAGCCTCCATCTGCCATACCGTTTCAGATGATTAATGAAATCAAAATGATGCCAAAAATGGATACCAGAGCATGATTTGGATTAACTACAGTAGCCATACTTAGCATATTTCCTGGGGCATGAAAACATTGCGTTTTTAGACTGTAACTACCAGAATCCCTCGGCCACTGGCCTTGCTGGCTGTGGATCTTGGGAGTTGTAGTCATCATCAAAACCCCCAAACACTCCAAGGATGAAAGGGAAGATCAACAGGTTGCCGATTTAATTTCTAACCAAAATGGACTATGTCATACAGACAGCTATTGAGGTAGATAAGGGTTTTTGAATGCTCCTTTAAAAGCCCCCCAGAGAGAAAAATAATCAAATCAATATAGAGGAATGGTATAAAGAAATGTGTAATATGGCCATTAATGACAAACTAACATGTAAAATTAAGATTAGAAAAGGAAAATCAAATACAAATGATTTTAAAGATATATGGAACTTTTTTTTAGTACACGTGTGTTTGAGAAAGGGAAAAGTTATACCCCGGGACAAGAATTTACTATGTTTCCGGAGAGAAATGGGGCAGCTGCAAAATATAAAGTAAAATCAATAAGTAAATTAATCCCAAGGGTGGTGGGGAGTACAGGATGGAACATGTATGTTACATTGTATATTTCTTTTCATTTCATTCATGTTCGTTGAACTTTCTTTTTCCTGTCAAATTTTTTTGGGGGTTGTTTCATTGTTGTCGTTTTATTGGACATGATTTAAAAATGCATTAAATAAAAAGGTTTTTTTAAAGCAAAAAAAAAATTCCTGCAAGTAGAAATGTTGCACAACGAGGTGCTAGTTTTCTTCTTGCGAGACTTTTCTTCCAAAGTCTGAAATGGTGCCGCAGCCATGCTGGCCACCTCATTCTTCTGGAAGTCGAGCTCTCTCTCTCTCCCGAGACCTTCGGATCCCTTCTTGTCTCCGTGTCCTGTGGCATCACGTGGCCTCTTCGATGCTACCCTTTCAGATTGCAGGCGGAAGGGGCCGCCTTTTGAATGCCCACCCGTTGCTCCTTTGTTGCAGGTTGCTTAGCGGCCACACATTCAAAAGCCATTCACAAACTGGACATCCCTTCCCTGGACTGGCCCATCGCTCCGTTTCCGAGACTCAAATACCCCCTGGAAGAGTTTGTGAAAGAGAACGCCCAGGAAGAGGCCCGCTGCTTAGAGGAGGTGAGAACCTTATTATTATTTTGATTATGGTGAGGATTGTTTCAGTTATACGCTTCCAACCAACAACTAGGGAGGGTTCAAGCATGATCTGGGTAGAGTGGTCATATTGATCAGATAGGCAGGGTACAAAATGAATGAATGAATGAATGAATGAATGAATGAATGAATGAATGAATGAATGAATGAATGAATGAATGAATGAATGAATGAATGTACGAACAAACAAACAAATAAAATCAATTATGGTGGCGATGCACTTCACATAGTTATTTATATTCCACTGTTTCTCCACCACGGAGTTCAGGATGTTCTCTACGGAGGACCAGGAGATTTTCCCCACCGGACGTCTGTGAAACATGTCTGTCAGGTTCATTTTGTCCAAAAATGGTGAATTCTTCTTTCTGCATTTTCTTTTCTTAAAAGTGTTGATTCATTGCCCTAGTGAACAGTAGTAGAAGGGGGTGGGGTGGAAACGTGACTTGCTTTTAAAGAAAAAAAATCAACTTGCAGGTGGAAGACCTGATCGTAAAATATAGGAAAAAGAAGAAAGTCGTCGCTGGAATCATCGTAGAGCCGATCCAGTCGGAAGGAGGAGACAACCATGCTTCGGATGACTTCTTCAGGAAGTTGAGAGACATTGCCAGAAAGGTCAGTTCGGGGCAACTTTGAAACCCAGCTAGGTAGAATCGTGGATCATTTTCTTCACAGTGGTGGTTGATGAAACAGTAGTTAGTTTGAGCTGAAACAGGCAGAACCAAGCACCTATTCATCATATGCATGCTGGAGTGTCTCATTAAATAGAGGGTTCATTCATAGAACAGGGGTGTTCCAGTGGGGGTCACGGTAGGTAAGTGGGTGGAGAGAGGGGGGGGAGAAGGAACCAGATTTATTTTTATTTAGGAGGACATCTCAAAACTGGGGTTGCGGGTGGAGCTCTGGAAGGTCTTTCGGTTCTTTCCATAGATGGGTGCCGTTAGCAGGGATCTCCGAGGTCCTCGTGTCCAACCGCCTGCTCAAGGCAGGAGTCCCGCTCTTCCTGTGGCAGGGAGTTCCACAGCTCGGGAGCATCCACCAAAAATGCTTATCTCCCAAGTCCCTCTCAAGTGAGTGGTGGGAACGAGGGAAAGGCATCTACAGAAGAGCTTGAAAGCTGGCAAGGCTTGTTTCTTGAATCATGCCCACAAGCATGTGCAAAGTGCCTTCTCCTCGACTGACACAAGACTCTTTCATTGAAGGGGGGAGAAATAAGTGGCACTATTTCAGCTGGTACGTTGTCTAATAAAACATGTAGGGCTGCGTTGGCCTATTAATTAATTACAGTTACTATTAATTTCCCCCCTCCCTCCCTTCCCTTCCGGTCCCTCCTCCTCTTCCTCCTCCAGCCGTATCGGATTTTCAACACGTGGCTTGGGGACCCTTCCAAGAATCTCCTCCTCGCGGAAGTCATTAACATCATTAAAAGGGAAGACCTCCTCGGCAACGCTGCTCACGCCGGGAAGGTGCTGCTGGCGGGACTCCTCGATTTACAGGTGAGAAAGGATGGGGGAGAGTTGAGCCCTTCAGTTTCCCTGTAAAAAGTACAAAACAGGGAGTCCACACTAAACAAGGTCCGAGGAGTCGGAGTATTTTTCACCAGGGTAAGTGTAAGCTTTTTAATCTATTTGCAAACGTTAAGCGAGGCACCACTGTATATATATATTTACCCCACATTTCTCCTTTAAACAGGACCAAAGCCAGCTTATGTCCATTAAAAACATGGTATTCAAAAGCAGTATGGGGGAGATGGATGTGAACGGCCAAGCCGAATGTTCGTGCCGATTCGTTCTTTGTCCGAATGGGTCTTCGGTGCTTCTCGGCCCCGCCCCTTCCTGCGAGCGAGGCACCACTGTATATATATATTTACCCCACATTTCTCCTTTAAACAGGACCAAAGCCAGCTTATGTCCATTAAAAACATGGTATTCAAAAGCAGTATGGGGGAGATGGATGTGAACGGCCAAGCCGAATGTTCGTGCCGATTCGTTCTTTGTCCGAATGGGTCTTCGGTGCTTCTCGGCCCCGCCCCTTCCTGCGGGCGTCCACTCAGAAGCAGCGTTTTGGCTGCCTTGCCCCGCCTCCTCTGGGTGCTGCATCTGGACTGGGCGCTCGCCAGGGGAGGCGGGGCTGAGAAGCGCCAAACACCCGTTTGGCCGAAGGACGAACCCGCACGAACAGGCGGTTCGCATCCCACTCTATATTCAACTATACAAAATGTTTGGCAAAAAGGATTAGGGAAAACAGATCGAGAAGCAACAAAAAACAAACCATCCCATTTATTGTCTCCTAGATGGTCGCTCGCTAAGGGAAAGTCTTGCCTAAAAAGGTCTCTTAGCTGCTTGTGGAAGGACAGCCAAGATGGGGGCCAGGCTGGCCTCCAGTGGCAAGGAGTTCCAGAGCCTCTGGGAACAGCCACAGAGAAGGCCCTCCCCTCTATCCCCACTCAGCGGACCTATGAGGGTGGCGGGACCGAGAGATTGCTTGGACCCAGTGGTCGCTCGCTAAGGGAAAGTCTTGCCTAAAAAGGTCTCTTAGCTGCTTGTGGAAGGACAGCCAAGATGGGGGCCAGGCTGGCCTCCAGTGGCAAGGAGTTCCAGAGCCTCTGGGAACAGCCACAGAGAAGGCCCTCCCCTCTATCCCCACTCAGCGGACCTATGAGGGTGGCGGGACCGAGAGATTGCTTGGACCCAGAGCTGGTCAGAGCAGCCACAGAGAAGGCCCTCTCCTATGAGGGTGGCGGGACCGAGAGATCGTTTGGACCCAAAGCTGGTCAGGACTTTGTATTGAATTGAATTGATTGATTACGGTTGGGTGACCAGCTCATAAAAACATATTTATGGCTAAAAGAGACAAAATATTTAGGGCTTTGTTGATTTACGCCAGCACTTTGTAACCCTGACTCTGTAGTTCGGAATACAGGATGCTGTGAGAACCCCAACCCCCTTCCATCAGGACAATCCTACTCCCCCCCGTCCATTTTCCCCCCCAACACAGGCCTTGTTTCCTACGTTGGAGAGTCCAAAACAAGATCATTCCCTGGAGGAGAAATGTGGGGGGTTTAATTTCCTTTCCCTCTTTTTAGAGCCGCTACCCACACCTGGTCAGCCGGGCGCGAGGAAGGGGGACGTTCTGTTCGTTCGACACTCCAAACGACGCCGTCCGGAACAAGCTCATTGCATTAGCCAGAAATAAAGGTAAGGCTTTGTCATTTGGGGCTGCGTCCCGTTCCCCCCCCCTTTTGCCCTACAGAAAGACATCAAGACTCTTAAAAGGACCATTATGAAAGATTTGGGGACTCTAGAGATCCCGCTGGACAGAATCCTAATAGAGGACGACTGGCTTGATCGCACGAGACGACTCAGAACGAGTCGGATGATGGGAACCCTCGGTTTCCATATTTCCACGTTAGCAAGGGGATCCGTTTACCAACAGGTCAGGGGAATTAAAGCAGCCGTCTGCATTTGAGGAAATAATAGTAATGGGGAAAAGTCAACTGTCCCACAGTAAGTGCAGTGGCATTAACTCAGAGCAGCTCAGAGCAGCAGAGGGCCCCTAATGAACGTTGAATTCCTAGTTGCATTGTGGTAAGAAATGTAGTCGGGGACTTGTTAATTAGTAGCTACTTCAAGTGCTGTTGCACTTTGGCTGAATTATTCGGTAGAATTTTGGCCAGTATCAGGTAGATAGCTAGGTAAGGAAAAAAGAGAGGAGGAAGTTAGGAAGGCAGGAGGAAGAGAGGAAGGATTAAAGATGGATGGATGGATGGATGGATGGATGGATGGATGGATGGATGGATGGATGGATGGATGGATGGGAAGGAAGGAAGGAAGGAAGGAAGGAAGGAAGGAGGATGGATGGATGGATGGATGGATGGATGGATGGATGGATGGATGGATGGATGGATGGATGGATGGATGGGAAGGAAGGAAGGAGGATGGATGGATGGATGGATGGATGGATGGATGGATGGATGGATGGATGGATGGATGGATGGATAGGGTTGGTCGGTCGGTCGGTCGGTCGTTTTATGATGATGAAGGGAGGATCCAAAGATAGAATGCAAATATGTATGTATTTAGTAAAGTGATGGACCAAATTGAAAAAAAATGAATTAAAATAGATTATCATCATAGCAACACACTTTGATTTCCATCTTCTTCACTTGCTCTTCATTAAAGGTGTTCTGTTTCTAAGGTGACAGCTATAGAACCCAGAGGGCCGAGTATTTTTAATGAATCCAGCTGCTCTCCCTCTTTTCCAACCTCTTTGGGTCCGACGGCCTTTCGGCCCCAAGCCAGCCCCGGCCCCATCAGATAGGAGTCCGTGGCATTCTGCGACCAAACAGGTCACCCCTGGGCTGTCCACGTTTCGTGGCTGCGAGAGGAGTCCCTTGACGGAAGCGCTATCCGGGGGTCCTTCCGGAGAACATCCTGGTTGCCGGTGGTCCGTGCTGTAAATTGAGATTGCAGGACCGGCAGGTTATGTTCTGTTGAGTGACACACAGATCAGAAAGCACGTGTGCATCGCTCACGGAATCGGTCCATGAAGAGTAAGCCAGCCCGGACATAAATCTTGCTAGCCGATTTATTTTGTTTCGGCTGTAAGCTGGTGAAGGGGACCCAAGGCGTCTCCCAATATTAAAACAGATAATAATCCCACACGCAATAAATTAACCTTTCTCTGTCCTCAGGTGTTGTGCTGGGAGGCAGCGGCAACCGATCCATCCGTTTCCGGCCCACGCTGGTCTTCCGAGACCATCACGCGCACCTCTTCTTGAACATCTTCAGCGACATCTTGGCCGATTTCAAGTAGCCGAGTCTTACCGTTGCACTGAAACAGCCCAAATCCTATCAGAGTCTGAGAATAGTATATTTAAAATCATACAGTATATATATATATATATATACTGTATATATTTTCACTAATAGAGGGGGGGGAACCTGAAGTCATTGAATTCTTCTTTTAAAAAAAATATTTGCTTGGTTCTCCCGTGCTTACCACCGATTCATGCTGCTTCGGCGAAAAACTCCGGACACCCTCGGACGCTTTGGGAATATCGTGCCAGCCTTTTTGAGTTCCCGGTGGCAGAGCCATAAGGACTGTTCTTCTCCTTTTGAAGTGTGGTGGGCTATCTTTCTGGGTGGGGGCTTGGCTCAGGATTTGAATTCCTGACAAATTTTCAGTAGCCAAGTTTCTAGTCCTTAAGGTGGCTTTGGCTACTTGACATGGCATGCCCCTAAATGCCATTGATCCACAGTTCTGTGTCCTTGCCATGAAGGACCATGATACAGGTCGGCCCCCAAAATCCCCACATTCCTAAGAAGTCGGCGCACTGAGCCAATTTTTGTCCTGCTTTTAAGCTCCTTTTCCCGATCAAAGCTATATCTGCCTCGGAAACTTATTTAATTTTTCGGTAGTTTTCAAAGCTACCATTTTTCTGTCACCCATAGGAACCGTAGGGCTCAGAAAAGGAGTGTCCTCACCTTCGGGATCTCAAGCCAGAGATCTTTTTTTTTCACCCAGTGGCCACCCAAGTTGGGGAGGATGGGAGTTGTTGTAGCGTTTGGGGTGGATTCAAACGCAGGTCCGTACAACTGCTGAATCCTGCCCGCTAGGCTAGAGCTCAGCCAGCCTCATTTCGCTGAACATTTACTTTGGGGCCAAATTCAGTTCGCAGAATGAAGGCCCAGGCTTCAGGGGGATTATGGGAGTGGTAGTCCTCAAAGGTAACATTTTCGAGCTGTTTTCCAGCATTCTGTGCTCGGGTGGCCGTTTCCTGCTCACCGACAGAAGAGGACCAAATGAAAAAGAACACCGCTTTGCTAAAATATATATACGATCCCATAGAAATGTAAAATGATGTCTATAACTTAAAACACACTTTTAGTGCCGTTCATTCGGGTGGGAAGAAGATGGAAACCAGCTTAGGCTCACAGCCAGCTGTCCTGCCATGGCGTGATGTAAAATGGGGAATTTCAAGTCTCCCCACCCACCCAATATCTCCTTCCTTAGGCTTCTTTTATCGTGAAATCAGAGTTGGGATTAGACAGCCCTCCCAAAAATGCAAAACGGACCCCTTGAAACAAAGGACAGTCCTTCTGTCAAAGAGAGGGTCGCTAGGGGGAATGTTCCGATTTCATTTGGAGTCCGGATCTCAGAATCACCCCCATTCTGGGCGTTCCACCTGCCGGCCTCACATCTACAAAAATCTTAAAAGTTTTGCTCATCTGGAGAAAAGCCGGGCCGAGAAGGGCCCACGATGAGCGTTACCTTCCTGTTAGAAAAGGAAGCTAGGCCTAGTCTAGGCCACTGAGCCTAGGCGAGCCTAATTTTTGGAAAACGGGCAGTTCCGGCATCTGGACTCCAAAATAGCCAAACGGCCCCTCCCTAAGTCGCCCTGTCCCAGCCAGGCAGCAGATCCAGATGTTCCCATCATCCTCTGGTGTGCCTCTTTCAGCCCTGATCGGTCAAGCACAAAAAAAAGCCCCTACTCTGGTTTTCCTTTGGGCCATTTCTGGGGTCCAAGGAGAGGGAGGAGCAGCTGAGCTTTGCAAGTGTGGTGTTGAAGATTTTTTGACTGGCTTGTCTGCTAAGCAGAAAACGTTGACTTGTGCAGGTCTTCGGGAAGACAAAGGTGTTCCGAAGCAATTCCCCTTTTCCCCACCCGACTCGCGTATGTCTGGGTTTTTCATAGAATTGCGTGTCAACCCACCTAAATGGCTTTTCACGCGAGTCTCCAGCTTGCTCTACTAGACTGGACCACAAAAGTTAGCCTGTTTTCCTTGGTATTCTGTGCCTTTTACCCATCACAATTCCTGCAGTGGGACGGCGGCCGACCTCTCCACTGCCCCAAAAACGTACACGTCATTCGCACCCAGCTCTGTCAGAAGGGGAAGAATACGTGGAGTAGAAGAAGGATTTACTCCTCTGCCAAGGTCTTTCCACCCCCATCCTCAAGATTGCATCAAGACAGAGGCGAAGGTTGGAGCGATGCAACCCCAGGGTGGAACATGGGGCACGCACGGCTGGCAGGGGATTTTGGGAATTGTAGTGAACTTTCCACCAAACTAAGACCGCAAAAGCTGGCTTCTGCACGGAAATGGCGCTCCTTCTCCCAACC